CACACACACACACACACACACACATACAGGTAGTCCTCACTTGGTGACCACAACTGGGGCCAGCAACTCCATTGCTAAGCAACATGGTCGTAAAGTGAAAAATCATGTGACTCTGACTGACTTATGAAGGCAGTTCTCCTGAGGTCATTAGTGGATCACCCATGGTCATCAAGTATGTCATGGGACCACAACTTGCAACTTCCTGCTAGCTTCCCCATTGACTTCGCTTGTCAGAAGCTGGCTGTGAAGGTCACAAATGGAGATCATGTGACTGTGGGATGATGCAACCTTCATAAGTATGCTCCAGTTGCCAAGCACCCAAATTATGATCACATGACCATGGGGATGCTGCAACAGCTCCAACTTCAAGGAGCAGTCATAAGTCTCCTTTTTCAGCACCATTGTAATTTTGAATAGTTGCTGAATGAGTGGTCAGTAAGTGAGGACTACCTGAATTTAATTACATAACTATCCATATATCAAGCATAAATTATGTTTGTTCCTTGATTTATTCTAGTTTTTATAGCACCAAATAAAATGGTTGGTTAGCAAGTGTCCAGCTGATGTCACTCCTCAATGCCCTCATTCTGAGAGTGGGTCTTTCCTCAGAATAAGGCATTGCATATTAAATGGGGGTGACCTCCAAGACCACTTAGTCCTTAGACCTTTGCTTTGAGAATAAAGACCTCAGGCCAAGTCTTTGGCCCTGGGTGGATGCTGTGGAGAGCCATGCCAGTTGCTTTTCTGATGCAGTATAAGCTGTAGCAAGAAAACAACTACCAGGCCTAGATCAGGGAAAGTCATTGTTCTACTCCACTGCACCCTGGTCAGATACCACTTGGTGTTCTGTGTCCAGCTCTGGGCACTTCAGTTCAAAAAGGATATGACAAATTTGAGTGATGGAAACCAAACGCTATGAGAAATGGTTAAAAGACATGGGTATGTTTAATGGAGATCAATGAGATTACTGAGGGGACATATGATAGCAACCTTCATGTATCTGAAGAATTGTCATACAGAAGAGGGAGTGGGTTTATTCCCTATTGTCTCAGAGGGCAGGACCATTTTAATCAATGTGATAAAGCTATAAGGAAGTAGGTTCAGGAGACATCAGGAGAAGCTTCCTGACTGTACAAACGATCAACCAGAGGAACAGGCTGTCGCATGATCTTTTCTGGAAGTCTTCAAACACAGATTGGATGATCAGCTGTCAGAGTTACTTTAATGGGTCTGACACCAAGCAGGCAGTTGAACTAGATGATCTCTATCTGTTCCCTTCCAATTCTATGAGTCTGTGCTTTTAAATCTCTTCATGTTATGTGAGGTTGGTGCTTTGTGAATGGTATTAGACAAAAGCTATCCAAGGAGTTTTAGGGTATGTTTTAATTCTCTGTCTGGTTTAAAAACATATTCCTTAGGGGTGGTATTTATTTTATTTTATTTATTTAATTTCTAAAGCTGCCCATCTCAACCAAGCAACTCTGGGTGGCAAATACTCTATTCTCTATATCTCTCTGATAAAAAGCTAAATTCCATAATTGTCGCAGATGTCAGTCAAGAAAGGCTTAATTCATTAGCAAAGAGGGGTGGGAGTGTCTTTCATCATTCTCTAACTATACTGTTATAGCATAATTGCAGAGATTGTGGGTGGGGAAAAAAGGAATGGGAGAGAAAATGGGAAAAGAGAAATGCTAAGTACATTTTGAGTCAGTGTCCTATTTCTTCAGCTTTACATTTCCTTCATCCCATTTCACTTTTTCCCCCTACTTATATACATGTAAGTACGGTAGAAATTCTATATGTACACTTTACCCAAACCCTTTTCTGCATGTAGCTTTCATAAAACACATATTTTGCAAGCAATTGTACTTTGCAAGCAATAGTACAGTGCATTTTGCTGTACAAGATTTCCTAATATTGGTGAACTGGCATACACTTCCCATTAATATATCTCCTTTTTTAAAAAATTGGGATATCACTGGTTTCTGTTCAGAAATTGCAATTTGAAACAGTTCATGTTTGTTTCACATTCCTGATACTTCCTTGCCTTTATAGCATTGTATCACTCACACTTAGGGCTGGTGATTCATGAAGGAAAAGGGGGATTTCCCAAGTTTCCAGCTCAGGTTAGTGCAATGTGTGATATATATCTCCAATAATGAAATGTTAAGTCCTCCTTCCCTGGACAAAAGAATCCAACATATCTTGGAAACCACATAATACTAAAAATATGATTATCACAGATAGAAGAAAAACAAAACAAAAAAACAAACAAAAAGTCCTACCTCCCGGGGTGGAATAGTATCAGGGCAGCCAGGTGGTAGGGTAGTGCCAATTGTAGTGGTAGTGGTAATAGGAGTGGTGGAGACTACTGTGGGAGAAGAGGTGGGTTCGGCTGTTGTTGATCTGCATGGCCCCTTGTGTCTTTCAACAGAACATGTACTACCACAAATGGCAAAATAAAGGCAACCATCGCTGTCTGTTTGTTGATAAATAATTTCACCTACAATTAAAGAGGATTCAAAAAAGATATCAAGTAACTGTCTCCACATCATAAAACAATGATTGGGAATGGTCTGTCACAAAAACTCAGTGGGGAAAAAGAAATACAGACAACTCAAAAATGATCAGGCAAAGCGCCTGATAAAATATAAAAACACGTAAACATATATAAACAATGTAATTAAAAATTAAATCATAAAAACTAAGAAAAAACCATGAAGAAGTCCTGGAAAAAATGAAAAACACTTACCAGGTTTATAAATCTTTTCTCCAATCTGGCAGAAACAATGACTTGTGCTGCTGCCTAAGGAGGTTTGAGTAGGTATTTCTGTAGTTACCACAGAAGGTGTGATTTCTTTGGTGGTGGCACTGGTGGTGGTTGTGGTTATCAAAGGAGTAGAGGTGGTGGTTGGGATGGCTGTTGTCTGCAGTGGGGTAAAGGTAGTGAGAGTTGTTCTTAGAGGGGGTAACGCTGTGGTTCGGGGCAAAGCAGTAGTGGTTATCCCAGGTGATGTGGGGCTGATAACAGTTGTGATTACAGGCGTTGTTACACAGTCCGGGTTTGGTTCACAACAAAGCACCCGTATCCTATAGTTCAGGCATCGCTTAGCTTTCCCAGTTTGGTCCTTATTCCGGCAAACCAGTCCAACTGTGACATCACACTGAACAACTTGACCAACCTCTTCAATGGTTAGGTCTGGCTGGCTTTCAGCCTGACATTGTATATTGACAGGGTTTCTACAGAATTTGCCTCCTGCAGCCCGTATATGGCTGAATGTTTCAAGGTCTCCTCCTTCAGGTCCAGAAACCGGAAAGTCAACATCAAACCATTGTGACCAGTGGCAGATGACGGGTGCACATGGGGTGGTCTCCGTTGGGATGGTCGTGGTGAGAGTTGTGCTTGGAGTAGGTAACGTTGTGGTAGTGGGCAAAGCGGTAGTGGTTATTGTGGGAGTCGTGGGCCTGGTAACTGTTGTTGTGATGGTGGGTGTTGTCTCTTTGGTGGTGGTGCTGCTGGTGGTTGCGGTTGGCCCTGTTGAGGTGGTTTGGGGAACGCTTGTGGTTAGCACTTCCGGTGTCTTTGTAACAATGGGCGTTGTGGTTGAGACCGGAAAAGTTGATGTCGTAGTGGTGGTGGTTGGGATGGGTGTTGTTACACAGTCCGGGTTTGCTTCACAACAAAGCACCCGTATCCTATAGTTCAGGCATCGCTTAGCTTTCCCAGTTTGGTCCTTATTCCGGCAACCCAGTCCAACTGTGACATTACACTGAACAACTTGACCAACCTCTTCTATGGTTAGGTGTGGGTGGCTTTCAGCCTGACATTGTATATCGATAGGGTTTCTACAGAAGTTGCCTCCCGCAGCTCGTATATTGCTGTATGTTTCAAAGTCTCCTCCTTCGGGTCCAGAAACCGGAAAGTCAACATCAAACCATTCTGACCACTGGCAGGTGACGGGTGCACATGGGGTGGTCTTCGTTGGGATGGTCGTGGGGAGAGTTGTGCTTGTAGAAGGTAACGTTGTGGTGGTGGGCAGAGCGGTAGTGCTTATTGTGGGAGTTGTGGGCCTGGTAACGGTTGTTGTGATGGTGGGTGTTGTCTCTTTGGTGGTGGTGCTGCTGGTGGTTGCGGTTGGCCCTGTTGAGGTGGGTGGGGGAATGGTCATAGTTAGCATTTCCGGTGTCTTCGTAACAATGGGCGTTGTTGTTGAGACCGGAAAAGTTGAGGTCGTAGGGGTGGTAGTTGGGATAGATGTTGTTACACAGTCCGGGTTTGCTTCACAACAAAGCACCCGTATCCTATAGTTCAGGCA